TGACCATAGTATGAGCACACAGTGAGTGTGCTGTGACCTCACACTGACCATAGTATGAGCACACAGTGAGTGTGCAGTGACCTCACATTGTGACCACAGTATGAGCACACAGTGAGTGTGCAGTGACCTCACATTGGGAGCATAGTATGAGCACACAGTGAGTGCGCTGTGTGGTTACACTTTTAGCTCACTGACACACACATTGTGACCACACCATGAGAATCGTGTGAGCTCATGGTGACATCATTGTGAGATCAAATTGTTGACTGGGTTGTACACCTGCACAACTATTGCCTGGAAACTGAAGAACAGGGGAAATCAAGCCATGTACAAGTAGATTTGTACATAAAATCAAGCCAAGCATTCGTGCTGTGTTTTTGTGCTGAAGGGGTTGTGTTCAGGTGTGTGTGTGTGTGTTTGTAACCTAAACTCTTTTGTCTTGAGGCTTGTGGGTATTATAGCACCAAATGAAATGTGCGGTTGAGCACCTCATTGTCAACATAAGAGTTCAAATTACAGGTGTTGTAATCATATACAGGTCCACACACACACTTCACAACAATACACACATACAAATAACAGAGGAATATTACAAAACAGTTAAAACCATAATGACATTTTTCGACTAAAGTAGCAGACACAGAACACAGATGCTGATGACTAAAAAAAAGACAGGTGCAAGGTAGTCACATCAGAAACAGCTAGTGTTTGTCAAATTTAGCACATGATTGCAGGGAGAAAAGCAGCAGATGAATAGCACACAAGGACTGTGTGTGCGTAATTGTGTCATTGTTAAAGAGCTACGCTTTGCATACGTGGTCAGGAAGAGTGAAGCGATGGAATACTGAAGCAGATCAATGTGTTTGTGTGTGGAAGAGGGGGTCGTGTGAGCAAGCTGAAGTACAAATCAATCTCCAGTAAAGTGTAGGATTATACATGCACGAACATCAACATGGAAACACATTATTCATGTTTAGTTAGAATGCTTTATTAAAACCTTTAAATAGGCTCATATAATTGGGAATCGTACTTTTAAGACTCTAAAAACAGCCTTTTAGAATTTAAATGTTAATTTTTTGATAGCAAATGGGGAAAATGGCACTTAGTTCCACAACTTTCTGACGTCTGAATTGAACAAATGCGCACACATGCCTGCCTACATTTACACATCAACAATGCCTATTCGCTATTCAGAAATTTGGCCCGAAACTTACTTTCTAAAGAATGAAACGTTAGAAACCTCAGTGTTTCAGACTTTGCAAAGAGGCTGTTGTTGTTATTGACATCAATGTGAGTGTAACTTGTGAGTATAATGCAAAATTTCACATGCAAAGAGGAGATTTACATATAAGTCTTACAGGCACTGTACTGATCGCTTCCGTGTTTAGCCTCAATGGCCACCACATGTAGCATGCTTTATTAAAGTAAGCAATATTGCATAAGAATGAGTGTGGAATATCAGCCCAGATGTGATCGCACAATAACATAGGACAGATATTTCCCCTCACTGCTTGAAGCAATATTAGCTCAACAGCAAAGCTTCTGGCCAATATTTTTTACTGTGCCTCATCAGATATCATATGTGCTACTGCAAGACCCTTGGCAATTCCTTTTTTTGTAAAACACAACCCTTTTGATAAACCAAAAGATATTTTGCCTCAGTTCAAATGTTTTGTATCAACAACATGCAGAAGACTGGTTTGACAAGCCCGTTACTAATCTCAGGTCCCTCCAAAAATATCAGATGAATGGGAGAGCACAGCTAGATTCTGATCCCTGATTCTTTGTCTTGATTTGTAACAAGTACACAGAACCGATCCAAGTACAGGCCATACAAATAAACTTTCTGAAACGGAATTTCTATATGCATACAAATTGAATCTATATTTGTGTTTTCATACACACATATAAGACTTGCTTGGCTTCAGCTAGTTTATGCATCTGGTAACATGCAAACATTAGATCTACACACTTATGTTCAGCCAAAGTAAAAGAAGAAACATTGAATGGGTTCATCCTATTTAAAATGAATACAATCAGCAAATTACATGCATTTTTTGTGTGCTTGGCTGTTAGCAATTTAAATAATGTTTATACAAATTGTAGGTAGATATTATTATTTTTCCCGCCAATAAAACCTTACCTATCAGTGTTCTGATACTTTAAGCAGA